CTAGCAATACATGGCAAAAGCACCTGGACTTTGAAGTTGACAAGTCCTTACGCTTGAATCTGTCCTTAAAGGAGACAGCACAACGAAAAACGCAAAGAATCATCAAAAATGTAGCTAAGACACACTAGTGCTGTGAGTCACCTCACTCATGCGCCCTTTCTACCATAAATAATGCATAGATCCCAGTCTCACTTACATTGGCAGCCGTGGCTTGCACCTATGTAGAGAGCACGGGCTGCAGGATGACACCGGTACCCTTGCGTGTCCAGAAACATTTTGGGTACCACAGTCCAGGCCTTCCCCTGAGGCGACTCTAGATAGCACAAGCAACCTGCACTGACTCACATATTTGCAATACTTAAAGCAAACCCACATGATCATAGGTCTGTATTTGTTTCTAGGACAGGGAGGAAAAAGAGACAGATGGCTATCGACCTGGCCTAAAAATTTACATGTGTATAAGCTTGTGAAGAAAGTTAGTGTGTGAAAGGGGCTAGAGGACTGAACGTCCCTTTGTTCAGTGTAAATGTCCCTTTGTTTACGAAGAATCAAGGCAGGGGAATCAATTGCTCAAGAACCCAAACCTCGCTGATAGAAGATGCCTCCCGCCAGCCCAGAGCTTCCCTTGGCGTTGATAAAGCAGAAGCGAAGGGGATTTTGTATGCTCTCTGTAAATAACTCCGCATCTCCAAACTACCTTTTCCCACCACTTTTTTCTCAACCAACAGCGCGTAACATTCAGTGCGGAACAGCTCGGTGGTAATGTCACCTCTGTTTGTCTTCCACAAACTGCATTGCAAAAAAGTATCTTAAAAATGAGCTTGGCCTTCCCTAGCCTGCAGAGGGGAGTAATGCAAAAATCAGCTGCAGTAGAAATCTATGAGAAATGGGGTCTCGGTTGCTTCCCTGCGCTAACCTGCTAGACTTACATCGACCCAAGGATTTAGGAAAGCTTGGGTAACAGGTGGAGAATACAAACACCACTTGTAGAAGACAAACTACTAGAACACAACACACACCGCCCGCCAAAAGAAAAAGCCCTGCTGAGATAGCTGTACGTTTGCTCAGGAGTGTGTGCTTAATTCTAAGGATAATTAGGATTTGCCCGGAGCCAAAGTGGATATAAATAGCAACCAAAACCTGCTAGTATCTTTCCTCCATCAGTTGGGCCATGAACTGTTTGGCAAAAGGGACTCTTTGTGATACTAACAAGTCTGCTCAATCACAGTGTATCAGCACTGACTCATGCAAGCTGCAGAGGGGTTTTAAATGCCAGGGAGAGCTGGTCTTTTGTATTCTGGCAGCTCCTCACTGCTGCTTTATACCACTCCCTCTCAAATGAAGAGTCTGGAATAAATGCAAAAAAAGGAAGCAAAAAAAAAAAAAAAGAAAAGATGTCAGCTGCTTCACAGTGTTTAGTGCTCCCCTGGAGCTTAATTATGTGGGAACTGTGATATGCAGTCTGTCGGCTAGAAGGTGGCAGATCCCTGTGGCAGAGTTTGAAAGGTGTGTTGTGAAACACTACTCCTTTGCTCTAGACCTACAGACACCGTATGGCATGCCCTGTGCAAACCACAGGTTCCCACAGTCCTGTGTGGGTTCCTCACGTTTCTCACCTGCCGTGTCTGCGGCAGCATGCTCCCGGATTCGGCTCCCAGCATCCCCGTGCACACTTTAGTTCAATTTTCCAGCTAGCAGAATGGCACGTAAATTATTTCCATCTTCCACCAAATAAACAAACTCACTCGTGTTAGTTTCCTGCTGCTCTATAACTCTAAGCCACATGCAGGGCTCAGTGATCGGCACCATAAACTTACAAATTTTTGGTCTCTAAGTCAGGTCTGTAGCTATGGGAGATGGTGTATTGCCCCCTAGGAATGCGATAAACAGCTCTTCAGCATAATTCTGAAATGAAGCAGTGCAGAGACCATCTTCCAGAGTATATTTTCAAATGTATTGCATAATTTCCCCTGTTTTTATTTTTTAAATCATAAGCATTGGAATCATTCATTTCTAAGGCTCTCTCTTGTGTTGGTGTCTAGCTGTCATAAAGAAAGAAAACTACAGAAAATTTCTGTCCCAGTTTATGTTTTCCACTTGCAAACATTCACTCCATTCTCAGAATTAACAAGGAACAGCTTCTTCTTCTACTACATGCAGGAGGTGCCTTCATAAACTTGTCACATCCTGATGTTAGTAGCATATGGTATTGAAAAGATTCCTACTGCTTAGAGAGAGAGCTGTTACAAATATTTCAAGCAAGAGTTTGTTAATTTTGGATCTGATCCTACAGTGCACCAATATTTTTCTCATGCTTCTACACCTAACTGTATAATGAAGATGCCCCATGAAGTTTCATAAAGAATGAGTTAGACCATAGATTTTGGGGGCCTTTAAAAGAACATTTCATTTCAAATAGCATGTGCATAAAAGACAGAGTCTGGTTCTTTCTTCTTCCTTTTACAAAGCAGAGGAGTAAATCCTCATCTTTTTTGTGATACCATGAAATAAAGGAAGATCTATGCTGTACATGAGGAAAACCAGCCTGTCTTGCTTTACAGCTCGAGGAATATAGGCTGTGCCTTACAGAACCTAGATATACTTCTTGCTCTGGCTGCCTTATAAGTTGAAATATGACAGTACAGAAAACAAGAGATGAGAAATTGGAGTCTTAAGAATAAGGCCAGAAGGCAGGAGTTCTCAGGGATTTAATATGGAACTGGTGTCAAAAGATAGAATTGGGCAGAGGATAACACGGTTAGTCCTCCAGATATACTGGGCAGCAGGATACGTCACGTGGGGCCAAAGAGGGGCAGGATCACAGCCCTGGAGTAATAAATGGAGTTTGCCACTGGGAAATGGCTTAGCTACTGGTATTCAGCTAGTTGTTTGGGTGGCAGGGGTCAGAGAAGATAACTGGGTGGTTTTGTGGTATATGCTGGTTTATCGGGGCCTCCTATAGCCCCCTTCCCTTCTCCCGTTTTCTAGGTGATAGATGGTGTGTGTCCAACCATTCCTTCACCATAAGCGTTTTGCCGACCCTTCCCAGCGCTTGTGTTAGCCACAGCTCCTTACTGTAAAGGCTGACCATTGCCTGGTCTCTGCCCACTTATTTTTGCAATGTATCTGAGAAGGGTGATCTTCCATACATGACAGGAGGGGAGCTCAAGTGCAGAAGAACTCATCTCTAGTTGCACAGGCAATTTTGTGGCTAAGCGGGGAGCTGAATGAGGATTTCCAAGATTAAGGTGACATCCTATTTTACTGGCTGTAACTCTTAATCCATACCTCGTTAGCAATGAAAGCTTCAGGGATTTCAAACTGAACTGTATGCCATTATTTTTCCACAATATGTGCTATCCTGCAACAGTCTTCTTTCCCTTTCTTCCCCTCAAAATCACAAGACTTTTCTCACTGAGGCCAAGCCTACAAACACCTCCTTAACCCAATCTGACTGCTAAAGCCTTGTGCAAAACAACACAGGTAAGAAGGAAAAAAAGAACGTCCAGCTTGCTCTGAAACTTATTTACAACATAGCAGCAGCTAAAGAATACCGTTATGGCATGCATGAAAAAGCAACCCAGGATGTTCTCCCTTGGAAAGCCTGAGAGTGAAAAATTAAGGCAGGGCAGGGCAGTGAGAGATGCATACGTTAAGCACATTTCCTATCTTGCTTTAGTAATGCTGTATTCTGAATGCAGCAGCACACACTGCTTCCAGTCTTTAACTATCCAGTCAAACATGACTATTAAGCATATTCAGGAGAAAATACAAATGTGAGAAATATACCATGACATGCTGTAGAAAAGACACAGAGGAAAAACAGAGGGCAAACCCAAGGGCAATCAAACGAGAAATGTGCTGCATAAAACAAAGTTAATACAACGCTGAATTCAGAGAGGTGAGAGAACTGCTTTAAGCAACTACTAAAAGAAAAAAACTTAACCTCCTTTCCCCACACGCTGTCAGATTTATGGTTTCTGTTCTTGAAATCTAGTCAGAATAACCAACTTTTGATACTTCCTTGCGTCTAGCTAGCCCAGATGTAATCTAGCTCTCAGATGAAAGATCTGCCAGGGAACAACAAATACACAAAGATGATTGTTAACAAAATCCTTTGCAGGGCAAGTTGACCTGATATCTTATTGCGAAAAGAAACAAAGCAATGGAAACACCAACATAATTTGTATTCAGAGAGAATAGTATGCACAAAGATACCACAGGAACTTGGGATAAGAGTCATACCAATCTTTCTGCCTCTACTTTTGTTCCTAAAGCATTCTATTTGGCTTTATTTTTGGCAGCAACGGCATTATCTTTTGGCCACAAATTACGCTTGAAAAGAATCCCATATTTTAGGTTTCACTTAGGTTTACCTCTGACTGGGAAATTAACTTTTTACAGTCAGGCCATCTAACAGCATTTTTCAGTTGCATGACATCATTACAGGACTTGTGGTGTTTTTCAAACAGGACGTAAGCACTGACCAAGCAGTGAAAATAGCAGCTTAATAGTTAAGAGCACACAAACAAGTAAGAAAACGATAGACTAGCTAACGTTTCACATTCAGACATCTAAAGTTAATCCCCTAAAATAAAGGTTGCATCTGGATGCATAGATATTATCTTTAGAAAACCCTTAACCACGGTTTCCATGAGTGGTGAGTAGCCTCAGAAAACTCCAGAGGTTATTGTGTCTCAGCTACAAAATAAGTAGAAGCTGCAGTGACAAAATCAAAACATGGAGATTTCCTGGGCCGTTCTCTCCTATTTTCTCAGCCTCTCTCAGCTGCATTAATCATGTCAGTTAGGACAAATTTCCTACTTCCATCATATCAATCATTTTGAGTTACCTGAAGAAACTTCAGAGCAGCTAGAGAAAGGTAGGTCAATGTGGATACTTGAGATAAAATAAGGTGCTTCCTCAGGAACGACGTGATTTTTGAAAATTGGTGCAAGCTATGCCAAAACTAGAAAGGTGAAATATTAAACACAGATTACCTGGGCGCCTACTCTAAAAGCAGCTTCCACTTGAGCTTTAAGGATATTGCACTTCATATGGTCAGGTACAGATGAAGGTGACACAGGGGCATGAAGAGTCTTTTCAGATACTTTCTTGTCTTCAACCTGTATTTAATATAAAAGACAAGCACAGTGACATCTATCAGAAAGATAGGTTAACAAAATGTTCAAAGGTCAAATTTTTACTTGTAACGTCTTGATTCAGCAATACTGGATAAAACTTCCCATGTTTGTAGCCTGATAGATACATCTCAGAATAAAAAGTTTTCAAAATATTTAATGACTTGATACTATTTTCAAGACAAGAAAAGCCTCAGGGAAGCCTGAGCGATAGAAGCAAGAAACTGCTGTGGAGTGAAGATACATGGAAAAAGCCCAGCCAGGCCCCCGAGTGGTTGCCCAAACCTGTGATCGCACCGAGGAAGCAAACATTGTCTCAAAATATCCCCCAGCAGGCAGAAGAGGGAAAAGTTCACAACACTCAACTATAGTGAACGTTGGTTTCTTACACCACCTTAAGAATGTAAAGGGGCTTTGCAAATTTAACCAGAAGGATCTGAAGGGATCTCCATGTAATTGCAAGCCAAGCAAAATCTCTTTCATCAGAGAAGAAAAATCCAGGGAGTTTAAACATTGCTGCTGCTGTTTCCCCTTGATGTCAACCCTTTACCTACGCAGTGATCTGGATCAGAAATCTAAAGCCTTAGGACAGCTAGTTTAGTGACCTGTTCAAACATGACCTAAAGGTTTTGTGCCTTGAACAAACTACATCCAGCAGAAATACCAGCATGAATAAACTTCCCATGAAGAAAAGAAAAAAAAAAAATAGAAAAAAAAAAAGGACAACATAATATTAACGTATAAACAAATGGGGTATGAATGAGACCAGGATTGTAAACGTGAACTCTTGAACAATCAAACTGTAACATCTTATATTTTTTTAAAGAAGAATTGGGCAATAGCATAACAGCCATTGTAAACTTTCCTATTCTTCATGGAAGTGAGACCTGAATTACAACCGAGTAACAGCCTAGATTATGCATTCATTTTCCACTCTCATTGCTGCAAAGAGTGAGTGGTTATATACACCCAGACAGAACAGATATGTAATGCTGTCATTCAGATTTCAGCCAAAACAAGTACAAAGCATCAGTAAATCAGATTCAGCGCATCCTTGAGGTTCACCTCTGGCAAAGTATTTCAGGATGGAACCGGTCATTTTTCAGCCACTGAAATTACCGTATGATTAGCCCTTTAAGACCAAAACCTGCCTCCTTTATCCTTCCTTCTGCTCTCCTCCATGGCATCCCACTGGCTGACAGTAACTACAATCTTACTGACTCTTCTCTCAGGTCCACAAACAATCACGGACAAAAGGGAACATCAAGATTCGGGGGACACTTTCTGCAAGTGGAGCAAATCACAAATGCAATTATGTTGCCTGAGGAAACTGTTTTGCAAACACTGGCGAGGGGAAGAGCCAGACCTCTGCAGAACTCTTATTGACACCGCGAGATATTTCTCATGTGTAAGCAAAATCGGTCTGGCAGACTTCTGTATGCCAAATGCCATAGCTGCTAGGTATGATTTTGAATAACTGTCTGTTAAAGGACTGCTCATCATGGGATTTTTTTCTCTGGCAAATTTCTAATAATTCTTACATGTTTATTTGCTGAGCCACATTTACTATTTTTAGTGGAAGATACTTTTTGACTTTTCATTCTCCCCACTTTCTTCCTAAGGGCAGAAGAAAATACTTAAAATGAAAAGTGGCAGCACCTAGCTGGAGCAACTTATGGCACTGTAGTCATCTCTTCAGTCTTGAATATAACGGTAGTTCTGGCAAACATATAAAAAACCCATGAAATATTTGTTTGCCACAGGTGTTTTTTCTGGGGTACTCATGAAGCTGAGAAGTGGAGATACTCACAAGGACAAAATCAACTGTAAAGAAAGCACAACTTTTCTTTCACCAATAGTCTTAGTAGCCACAGTGCACTACTACACACTTTAAAAGGGCCGCTATTATTGTCAACTTTTAAGCGTACTGATTTCTAACAGCAGAAAGAACAACGCACTAAGCAGTGGCATTTCTAAAGGCCATGCAAAATCCCACCTTTGTTTTAACACTGGATACTAATTGAATAGCATTTCAGTCAAGCAAGGTTAAGCAGCTGTATTTTACTAGCTAAATTAAGACAACCGATGCTTGTTTAGGACACAAGCTTGTTTCATAACTCAAAAAGTTCCAAAGTCCCACCCATCTGTTCTTTAGATGAATATGGATATTTTTCAGTCCTTACGTTCTTCCTCCCCTGCCCAATTTCCCCGCATTGACCGAGAGCAAGCTAAAAGCCCTTGGGGCTGTCCTGTAGCTGGGAACCCTCAAAAGGTCTAAATCTGCTGCAGTATTCAGGATTATACCAGATGACTCCACATAACAGAGATTGTCCCCAGCGTGGGATCTGATGTGCAAGTCTCACACGGAGATTCTCATAACTTGAGAGGTCCAAACGCTGATGCTCACTGACCTGGCTGAAAAAGCTGCTCTTGGTGCTGCTGGAGGTTGCAGACTTCTTAGAAGTCATTCCTGGGCATTCCGCTCTGCTTTAGCCCTCGTTTGGGTCACGCTTTAAGGGTTTCACCTTCAAGCAAGCAAAATTTGCTTTGCTTGCACCGCACCAGGAGCAGCAGCACCTTCAGTGACCGCTCACACGCGAGGAGCAGACGTTGCTGCAATCGCTGCTTGGCCTCATCCTGCTCACCAGATGCTGAGCCAGTAGCCCAAGGCCACCACCTCCCCCTGCCCCAGTGGAAATGCTGACTGCACCCAAACCCCATATGGGAGCGCTCAACCTGACCCAGACGCTTCTGAACATATGTGAAAGGTTTCTTTGCCAGCCTGCCTGGGCAACGATGGACTTTTCTGCCACAGTGCAGCGCATCCTGAATCATTACGGAATTCTGCTCTCACCTAGCCGATCAGCTGAGACTATTGCACATAGAGTCAGCGACACTGAAGGTGCAGACTAAAAGGGAACTCAAATCACAGAACAAAGTAGCGCATCCTTACTGCAGACTATTAGCAATTCTAAGCATCTATATCAGTTCGTGTTGTTCCTTAATGCCACTGATCTTTACATATAAGCCCATTCATCGCCCAATTTAACTCCTGAAATACAATTGTCATCAAGAAGGCAAAAGAAAAAAAATGAAATTAAGGACTATACAAAACCACGCAGTACCTTCTACGGTTCATTTCACTAGTTTATAAGAAAATCAAAGATCTAAAACCTGCCTGCATTAGGAATCTCTATATACTATTGCTGCAAGAATGAAAACTGTAATCTACTTTACTTTGCTGAATAATAAAGAAATTTTGCATTTCCAGAATCCTTATCGCGTGCAGCGATGAGTGAAGCATAAAGATAGCAGCTGGGTATTCAAATGTTGTACCAGGTTGGCAGTTATTAAAATTTTATTTTCATTTATAAACTAAGAGCATTCTATGTGGAAGTCATTAGAAAACGAAATGTGGCATAATATTAATGAAAATTCCAATTTTACCATCTCTTATTATGTAATTTCAAAGAATTTCAGATGCCCCTTTCAAGCGAATGTCTGAGAGTCAAACTTGCATATGAAACAAATAATCTTCCTGCTTAAAACTGCAATCTAAGCTCATCCTAAAAGGTTTAGCAATGAGGAAAAAACGTTAAGATACCTGATAACACTCCAATTTTCCATCTCCAGCTCTGCTAGTGCTAAAAAATAGCAATATGTTCACATCACTTTCACCATTGATGCAGAACTTTACTTTTCCAGTGAAGGAGAACACTGGAGAATTGTATATAAATGGGTTTGATAGAAGTGGGTTAAAGAAGCTCAGATATATACACACATAAAACTAGATGCCTTTTTTTCTTCTTATAATTGAGGTCTTATGTTTGCTTTTCTCCTCCCAAACATTTACTTTAAATTCAATTACATTTGCTGATACTAGAACTGAAGGCAGATTTGTACAGTGTTAGATAATGATGACACTGGCTTTGGTTTGCAAAGCTAACTGAATATTAAGTACACGTACAGAATATAAAAATAGTTGCATGAAACACAGCAATACCACTTCTGTACTTAACATTTCTCTTCTCTCTGCTTTAAAAGGTTCATGCTTTGTTCCACATCAAACTGTGTACCAAGAGCAAGATTCACGATCTTTTGCCTCTGTGAATTTATCAATAGCCTCTTCTTAGCCAAACAGTACGTTTAGAATACGTATTTAGCTGGAGACATCTGCACAACAGAATTAATATTTTGTTTAGGAACGCAGGTCTATTCTTCTTTGCTAGTCATCACTACTAGTGGGAGGTAAAATTTTAACGAAGACAACACAGATATATAGGTTCTGAATGCACATTAGCTATGTAAGATCAAACCCTTTTGTTTCCTGGGACTCAACTGCATCTGCAAATGTGCATGAAAATCTACAGACTCTTTCGCCCCCTTTCCACCAGGAGATTTATTGATTTTTTTCCATATGATAGCTAACACCAATTACAAACAGACACCATAATGGTAAGACCTGTATGATTATGTGTTATTATTTGAGGCAAAGTTTGCAAGCAGAAGCTGCATCTTTTATTAGAAAAATATATTTGGAAAAACAAACAAATGAAAAAGCCCGTCATTAAGCTGTCAGATACTCTAGACCTTCCTCAGGTCAACTATCAGTCGGTCTAATGAAAGGTGTAACTCCCAATAAATCTTGTTATGTTTATATCCTTGGAGCAAACCTCTTTAGTTCCTGGTATCAAATTTATTTTATAAAATGCTATTGCTCAATATTATTAGATCCTGCCTCTGTCAGTGCCAAGCTTCATGATAGCCTTACTGGCTCATGGTAGCCACGTTCCCTGGGGTGTACCCTCTGATCAGCGCATCATACAGAACAGTCTCAGATATATCAACAAAGTGAGTTGGGTTTGGGGGTTTTTTTAAACCAGAAATGATTTTTGGAACTGCGGTAGCTTTAGGCTTTGCAGTTGGGCACGGGGCAGGTAGTTCCACGGCTTCTTTGCAAGTGGTATGATTTGCAGTGGTATCAGTCAGTAGCATAACTGGGTAGCCCTGTAATATGGTATTGGCATGTTAGTAAAAGGCCATAAGCTTTGAACAAAGATTGCAAAGCCATTGAGGCTCATCAGGCTTGCTCTGTCTGAACCTTTCTCGATCTGCCTGCAGCTTTATTTCACTAGGTTTAGCTGTAACAGCAATAATTTTATATAGAAAAGAGTAACACAAGCAGTTATTCTTTGTAGAATGAGATATTTATGACTGTACACAATGATGTAGTACAAAGCAACACAGGGCTGGTATGATAACAGAGGCCCTGAGAAATGGAGACAGGCGAGGTGGTGTAGAGGAGTGCAGGCATCGGGTGATAGCGCAAGGGGCACAGGCTGGCCCCACGGTTATAAACAACCTACCAATGGGCAGTTAAAGAAGTGCAGACCTGGAGCTGGACAAAGCTGGTTTTCGGGGCAATGAAGAGAGTGAAGACATAGTATCTAGCACATATATGTAAAAGGCACCATGTGTAGAAAATCTGGGTGTAACGTGAAGATGCAGATCAATGAAGAAAGAGCAAGATGGAAAAGCGTGTTTGCAAATATACAAAAGGACGCAAAGTAGATCCTAGAGCGAGGAAAAAGAAACTGGATGGAACACTGGAACAGGCTCACCATCCCTGGAGATATTTAAAAAGATGTGTAGATGTTGCACTTAGGGATACGGTTTAGTGGTGGACTTGGCAGTGCTAGGTTAACGGTTGGACTCAATGATCTTAAAGGTCTTTTCCAACCTAAATTATTCTATGATTCTATGGCCATCATAACAGCCCCTCTGACCCCACCAGAATGAAATCACCAACCTTAGGACCCAGGGGTGTAGGGGAAGGGTGAGCATAACACCAGAAAAAGGGCTAGAAACGATCTGAACTGTATTAGTATCTTTCTTTTTATGTAATAATTACATCTGGACTAATAATTACTAGACTGCCAAGATTTCAGAAATGTTAACAATACATTCTTGGCTTTATATTATATATATATACACACACACACACACGTGGAGCAAGGGGAGATGGGAGAACATATTTTTCTAATGAAAGGTTTGCAAGAAAGAACATCAGAAATACATTCACAGCTACAACACTTAGGCTTGTCTCTCCTGGAATTAAGGAGTCCGCTAGCACCAAAGGGCATGAAACGCATGTTGAAAGTGACTTTTATCATTCAGTAGGTGGACAGGCATGTCCACTGTACCAAACAGCTCTGGAAAAGAGACTGGACGCATCCAGTCCTCATTCCCATGAGATGAAGTTTGCTGTAGCGGACAATCAAATTAATTAACTGCTGAATCTAATTTTCCCAATTTCTTCTTAATTCTCCTATGGGTTGATTATTAAGCCTAACAAATTCCAGCCCCAAAGCACTTTGCTTGAAAAAATAATAATTAGCAACAGGAAGAGGGGGAGTGAAAGTTGGGGCTCCGCAATAGATGTGGAAACCGTTGCTTTATTTCCAGAAATAGAGCAAATGAAGCAGCTTTGTAACTGCTTCACTGGTTTTGTTTAAGCATAATATTTCAGAGGATGCAAAACTAGGGAATAAAAAGCACTTAGTAGAATAGAAATCAATGAAGTGGTGCAGGAGAGCTGTTAACATTTCATTTTCTTGGCAGAAACTAGACACGCTGACCACTGGCTAAAATCTGTTCGCTGCTGGACTGAGTAGCTAGTTAACTACCATAACCAAAGGAGCTTTAAAGGCCACATTCCCAGCGAAAAACACTTGTCACAGTTCAGGGCTGTTCAATCTTGTCTAACCTGCCCTGCTGCCTTTGTGCCGGGCAATGCTCCACAGCATTTCAGCCCAGGGTTAGCCCAATATTTACGGCATGTCCCTCTCTTTCATCGGAGAAGGCATCTGCTGAGGCGACTCCAGGCTCCGCTTGAAGCTCAAAGACCTGCGGTTTGTTTGTTTTAGCTTTACGAGCTCTGTGTACATGTTTCACTAGGATCTAGGTCAGAAAACAGTGCTTGAAGAAGAAACCACAAGCCAGGGGCCAAAAGAACTTCAGAACGATTTGTTGGTCACAACCCGCAGCCTGTAACGCGAGGGCTTGATCACTAGGTGCTTTCCAGCGGTGACTCTGGGCCTGTTTCAAGAGCACGTACAATTTTCAGATGGCTCAAAATGGCAATTTTAATAAATTTTGAGGGACTCGCCTCCTTTGCATTCACACGGTAACCGCTGTTCGTGGGATTGCTGCCCAGCTCTTAAACCCAAACCCTCTATGACTGCCAGGAGAGGGTTTTCATTAGACAGCCCATGTCTCTAGCCTTGCCTTCTGCTGAGCTTCTGCCAGAAACAAAAGCATTCAGCAGCTCCTGGAGCTCATCGCAAGGCTTTTTCATCAGCTAAACTTTGACTGATGGCAATCTCGCCGCAGCAGACACAGGCTGCGTCTACTGTGCAGCTGCATTTATTGTGAAGCGCTGACTTGCTACGATGCTGGGTTCTGCTAATTAGTCCTTAAATAAATAATCCATCTGACTGTGGACAAGATTCTAGAGCTGTCAGGACAAGCCAAAGAAAACCATTAATTACAGAAGAGCTGAGTTCTCCTTCTGCAGATTTTCAGAGAAGAAGAGTGAGAGGATCAGAGGTCAGGCTTTGCCAGGCAGAGGTTGCAGGGACTCTATTGGGACTACTTGCACAGTATGGTGGAATACAGGACCAAAATGCTTGGAGCTTTCATTTAAAGAAAGAAAAAAGACCATAAATCTACTCATTTTGAGATCACAAGGGTACCACTGAGATTATCTGTTTGGATCTTTTGTGCAACACAGGCTGGACTGGTTTATCCACTTGTGCGCTGTGGTCAACACCGAGAAAGTCCTCTCACTTCTTCACTGTGGCCCTTTATACATACCAAACTGAGCTGTCCATAAGCTAAATAGCGTAGGACAGTGCTTTAAAGCATGTTTTGGACATTGCACCTAAGTGAATGTTCTCAGCTGGGGTTCAGACAGGGTATCAGTAATTACATCTGAACTACAGTGCTCCTCTCACAAGACCTGGGTATTCACTGGATTAATCTGCGAGATGGAGAATTTTCCGTTGGCAAACTATGTCAATGCTTAATTAGCTTTGCCTACAAAAACCCTGTACTTATTACCAGTTAAGAGTATTTCTAGAAGAAGAACTTGGAGAAATGTCCATGGGAAAAAGATGACTTATTTTCCATTTCCCCCCAGTTTGTCTACTTTATGATTTAACTTTTTATCCCCACTCAAATCAACCAGTCAGACAAAATGACAGCTTCTCACAGCTGATAACCAAATAGATTTGGTAAAAAGTCTAAATTATTCCACCTTCATCTGTTCATTCAGCAGTCTCCAAAAGTCACGGCCTAGGTCATTGCCTCATGACCACACTCATAAGGTATGAGGACTGCAGTCCGCAGCTGAACTACACCATCACACCCTGGACGCGGTTCTTCAAGCAAATCTTCATGATGGAAAATCTACTGCATTATGGATTAACTTCAATTAACTACAATATTGAAAAAAATACTCCAAGATTTCACTTTTTATTAGAAACACTAGACTCGCTGATTTTCAGCCTTGACGTCCATCTCCTGGATTCTCTCATCCAGAGAAAAGAAAGATTATGCTATGTAGAAGATATACAGCCCCTTTGTGCTTGTATTTTTGATACACTTTGCCACCTCTCCTTTGATTTTAATTTCTCTAATGCTTGTTGAAATTATATCAATAACGAAAGGCTGTTTGTGAAACCAAGGTGAAGTAATTTAATTGAGTTCTCCCTTGAACTGACAGAAAACTCTCAAAACACCACATTTCTTTTAACAGGTCTGTAGAGTCACTGGGGGGCCAGACCCACCACATTTGAAGCCAGTTGCAATGCTCTCACTGACTTTACTGGGTCCGTCTCAAGACTGATGTGGTTGCAAATGAGAGGTCCAGGTCTCCGTGGTTCTATCCAGACTCAGCTCAAGGCACTGCACAGCGCAGGCACGGTGGATTTTGCCCCACATGGATACAAGGAACCACCGACCTGCTGGCCTCTGATCTCTAGCAGAAACAGCGGGACACGGCTGTTTTGCCACCCTTGCAAAAACTCACTCATAAAACACCCACTAACCTCAGATCCCAGGGGGTTTTTAAGGCGTAATACCGACTCCTCATGTAGAAAAACAAGATTTTTTTTTTTTTATCACTTAAAGTGTTGTTATTTTTTTACAGCTCTGGGCTGCCTGGATGACTAACTCTTCACAACTAAAGTAAAACTACATCATAACATTGTTGCAGCAGCTTCTGAAATTTTAAAAGGCAAAGTTGAAGGAAATGCTAAATCTAAAAACCAAATGCTAGTCCCATAAGGAGATGGTGAGAGGTGATTAAAAAGCAAGCCAGTTGCAGATGAATGTTGATTTGAATTGGAGGTGAAAAAGCAGCAGCTTTTGAATATGAAGTGACAAAGGGGCTCTCTGGCATATATATGTAAAAGTATATATGTATATGCTATACCTTGTTCATGCTGACGTGCAGGGCTGGCCACGGTCCAACCACCTTCACACTCTCCGTTTCTATTTTCTTCAGATGAGAAGTTTCATCATAAAGAAGGGGAAGTCCTGAGCTCAGTTCTAAAAAGATGCCCAAAAGAAAGAAAGAAAGAAAAAACACAGTCTGAAGGGAGGCTACAGAAGAATTGCAGAGCAAGACACTCAACTGCGTTTGAAGAGACAGCAGTCAGCAAACCATCTTCCCTGCAAGACCCTCTAAAATGTTCCATAATTATGCCTGTTGGGTCACGTCATTTTGCCTTTTTCTATTTAGCAAACAATTCCTCGCCCCCCTCCTTCTCACCCATCCCTTCATTTTAGCAGGGCTTTCGCCAGCTTTGGGCTAGATATTTTTCTCCTCACCTCCCCCCTCCAACCCCCCCCAATTTTCTAAAACTCAGTTGACACCAGAGGGATTATTTATGCAGCTAAGGTGCCACTCTCAGAACATGTGATGTGTAAAGAGATCAGAGTATAGCTTTTGGCTTCTCTCAGACATCTTTATTTATATGCTAGCCTCTTCAAGACTGTTGTCAGGAATTTGCTGTGCTTTGTCAACAGAGATTTTGAGCAAGCCACCGACACAGAAAGACAAGGAAAAATATTTTTTGAGGCAGCCCTGAAAGGCCTCTGCCAACATCTTGGGGATGGTGTGGCATATATATGTATATTTGCAAGTACTCTGAGAAGAATGAGCTTCATCATGTGATGATTTAACTAATCTCTGCGTCACCCTGTGTTTCTTTTTGCCATGGATTCTAGGTAATAACAGTTGGGAACAATCTGGTATTCTCTGGAGTCTGATTCAAAGCCCGCTGAAATCAATAAAAACCTTGCACTGACTGCAGATTGGTTTGGATCAGGTTCTTAGCCTGTCCTAAGAATATCAAATATTACTCATTCAGGATCTAATTCTACAGCTGTTTAAATATACATTAAGGGCTTTGCTGACTAGAGACAAACTGCTAAAACCAGCTTATAGGGATAGAAGCAAAAAGCTGTCTCTGGCATTGCTGAAACATTATCAGACCCTGAGGTAATAGCGTCCTAGAAGGGGTTACAATATCAGCGTCGACCTCCCCTTGGTGGTCTCTCATCACAAGTTAGTGATGCCAGAGTTCAGCATTTCTCACACCACAGCCGCTTCTGTGGATATGAGACCGTTGAACTGCCCGATGATACCCAGGAATAAATTAGCACAGCTGCAAGATAAGACACGATGATGTTTTTTGGTTTTTTGAAGAAACACAGTCATTCTATTTTCCTGTTGAGAGAGAACACAGAGGGGGGGAAAGTGCCTTACTTAAATTATTCAGGTTTGCTACAATTTAAAATTGACTTTTAAGCTGGTTTTTTTGTTTAAAGGGAGAGCTCCGGAAAACAAGCTAGCCGGTTTAGCCTTTTAACTCAACCTTGAAAACAGATTAAAAAAAAAAAAAAAAAAAGCCAAAAACCTGAAGTCCTACAAAAGACACACATTTCCTGAGTCAGCGTTAAGTCTTGGCAAAACCAGGCTTTCATTTCAAGCAAGGATCTGGCAGCGCTGTGGTTCTTCAAAGCACTGTTTTCAGCCCGAAACTCAAGTCTGTATTACACCATTCTCTGCTCAGGGTTACACAAGGACTTTTGTAGCGAGCAGTTCAGGAATAAAGGACGTCTTTTTTTTTTTTTAAGTGATAACCTGCAAGCTCAGCCCAGAGTTCCAGAGGCAAGCTGGGCCCCCTCTTCTCATTCATCATTTTCTGTTACAAAAAATTCTGCAAGCTACGTTGGATACTTGTTGGCATCTGCTTTCAGCGATAGTCCCAGCTGCTGCCGGTGGATCTGCTCATGTGCACCTGGTAATAATCCATGCGCAACGTTGCCATGCCAATTAGGCTTAGCAAGCGGCTCACCCTCTCTGTGCGGCACCGTAAGGCTAATTTCTGTTGAATACAGTGGTCCCTGGGAATACATTGGGGGAAGATCTGCTGCATAGAAAGATACGATCTGTCTACGTTAGCTTGGAGGTGAAGGGCAGCATCGCAAATACAATAATCAGGCTGAATGCAGGAAAACAACATCTTCTAAACGTCTTCTGCTGAACTGCCTTCATAAACACACACGTCAGATTTGTTTCACCAGATTTCACTTCTTCCAGTAATTGAAGTAGACAAATTACTCGGAATGTGAAAAATCAGGCAGGTCTGGCCCGGGTTTGTTTTCTGTAACAAAATCCCAGGCTGTGTGTTTGCTGAGAAACATGCACCAGTATTTAAAGGGAACCCTGGCCGGGCATACTGTTGTTTCCCTCTCTCCTGCCCATGCCCTGTGAATTGCGCCAGAATTTTGCCATTTATCAGAATAGGTGTAAGTGGAGGAAAGGCAGACGCTTTCTCCCTCTCTTGACCCGATGCCAGGTACGTATCGGTGGGTCACTCCACGTTCCACTTCAGATGAATTTAAAACCACCTCAGAGCTCAGAGATGAGTCTGGTCCATAGGAACTGGAGTAAATCACGAAATGCCCACGGTCCCTTGGAAAACCACAAGGTAGCTGAACCAAAGCGCTGGTGGGCGCAGCCTCACGGGGAAGTTTCCACTAGGATAGCGTATTCCCCCCATGAGACCTTTTGGCTCTCCAGGCATTCCCACTTGAGATATTTTGGTCACAAGCACCTTCTTCCCCAAAAGCGTTCCCAGGTTAGTGACCACGTACTTCCTAGAAATAATTTCCCAGCTGTGGCCTTTCCACACAGCCTGGAGCCAGACATCAGTCCCCCGTGTCCCCGACGCAGATCCCTGATAGCGTCTCCTCTCTGCTTGAGTTTTTCTTGTCCCACACACTTGCCACGTGTGCCATCCTAGATAGCCGACTGGCAACCAGCACGCTCCTAACCGTTCCAGCATATACACCACGAGCCTTTTCCACAAGCTCTCTGCAAGAGGGTTTTCTCAGCCGAGATAGCCTGAGCAGCATTTTAACGAAGCCATTAAAAACAAACCAAACCAAAACAAGCCCGCTGAGCACCAGCCTCGAAAAGGCACCCAGACCTGTCGCCCCAAACTGCAAATGAATAACTTTGATTCCGTTTTAAGGGAAATGGTCCTATCCATACCACCGCTGCTCTAAGGGCGTAAAGGTGCCGGGTCTGACTGCGGACTGGCCTTTCAAGGGAAATATCAGCTTTGTGCCTTTCAAGGGAAATATCAGCTTTGTGCCTTTCAAGGGAAATATCAGTCTGGTGCCTCCGGCCGGGTGGACAGGTACAGGTCTCCTCAGGGGACCAGCAACGGGTGGCCGTGGGGCAGCATGCCTGCGTTAAGACAAGCCACATTTCATCTCGCAGGTTAACGCTCCCTGGGCAGAAAGAGAACCGCTCCGATGTTTGCCCTTCTGCCTTTCTAAGCTTTATTCTAAGGTTATTTCAGCACGGAGGAGGAGGAGGAGGAAGGCAGCCTAAGAGGAGACACACACAGCTGGAATAAACACCCCGTATGGTGTTTTTTGCCGCTCTTTCATCACCTTCTGGTGGGCACGGCTCGGCGGGACCCACGGCAGGGTTGTGGGGAGCTGGAGACCGGCCGAGGCTTTCCAGCCACGGCAGCCCCACACACCTCCCAGCACGAAGGTACACCAGCGAGGAGCGTACAGTCCACAAAAAGCCGGCACATCTCCTGGAGGTTGCTCCTAAAGGAGTAGCTTCATTGAAAACCCAGCAAGCAACTCGTATGGCTGCTTAGGATTCCTTCCTTAAACGTCTACAACACCTGGCGCTTTTATTTCGTGAGCTTCCCTCCTAAAAACTGTTATTTCCCTCTCCTTGGGAAAGAAAATTAAAGGACATGTTTCTGAAACAAAGTCTGATTAAAGTGCCTACACAGGTAGATGCCTGTGCATTACTGCTGAGGTGGGACAGCCTACAGCCGAGGTCACCCAGCACTGTCCATTACAAGATCCTGGTTTCAGGAATTTTAAAGCTGTCAGATTAACTGCCCAGGCTGACAGTTTCCGTAATGGATGCCTATCTCAGGGTGATTTACAATTATAAAAGGCAAAAACTGGGCAAAGGAAGAACTTCTCATCCCCTTGAGGCAAGGAAAAGAACAGATCCTACCTTGTTTTGCCCATTTTCTGAAATCCTTGCACAGCTTCAGCATCCCACACACTGCAGAGTGCAGAGATTATAAATTTGGAGAGCAAGAAGCAGGATTACTCAGTGGCAGGGATGTTTCTCTTCCAGTTCCTGTGTGGACCTACAAACATTTGGCCAAGCTACGTACCCTTAAAAAAGCCTGTACATGTTCAGCAGTGGAGACTTACACCCAAACTACCCAAAGTTGCATCAGGCTTCTCTCCTCTTTGATTTCTACAAGCCAAGAATTTCTCCGCCGAGCAAGCAAGCATACTGCAGTCGTGGCAGGTAAGGCTGAGCAGGAATTGTCCCCATTACCCAAACTAAGAACAAGACACTGTTTGTCCAGCGCTCCAAAATTTCTGCTGTTTGTGCCCAGACACGAAAGCAAGAGTCAGATCCAAACGATGAGGGCTGAAGGCCAGCTGGGCAGATCAGCAAAATACAGTGGCAGACGAGGATAGGTTTGTGAAACTATACAAATAAATAGTAACGATGAAAAAATAGCCTGTGCCAAGTAGCTAGAGACTCGGTATCTGCGACTAATTGGGTATTTGTTCAGCTATGGAACACCAATCTAACACCAAATCCCGCAACCCTGTAGCAAAGCCAGGGAATTGCAAATCTTGTCTCATTTGCACATACTACAAAGCTAGCAAATAAGAATATGCTTCCTGTTATTCTCTTCAAGGAGAAAATCTGAAACGCGTGTGGTTTTCCTTTCCTTGCCTTTGCCTCCTTGCCAGAGACAAATCTGAAAGCAGCACAGTTACTGAAATGACCTTCATGGCAGTGGACTTACTGTTTGGGTTCGGAACTCCAGAAACAATGTCTTTGCTGTCCGGAGTGAGGGCACCAAAATTCGCATGGTGGTGGTGGTGACGGTGGTGGTGGTGGTGCCTTGCAGGCATTTTTGTGGTATATGGTGCTCCACCATTCTCTTCAATGTTGAACTGATGCAGATCACTGTTGTTCAAGGGATAGCTACAAAATAAATCAGTTCAAATTAGATCGGCAAACAGTAGGACAAACTGTACTTTTGGAGAGACAGAGTGCAAACTTTCTTGGGAAAAAAAGGCAGAGCTTTTCTGTAAATAAAATTTTGAATGAGGTGTATCCCAAATCTTTACAGTTTTCTGTTAACAGGAGACTCATAAGGTGAGGAAAAAGGATGCCTTTGCTTGTTTGGCATGACTTTAAGATCAGAATTATTTTTGATTTTACACCCTATGTAATCTCTGCTAAACTCTTATGCTGAGTCAAATTCTGACTGATTTATGGAATATGATTCTCAAAAACATCAAAATTTGTCCTGCAGGAATTAGCAACTTCACCTGACATAGGAAAGCGGTCAGGCAGCAAACAATAACTCCTTTAAAGAGAAACTGTCAGAAAAGCGGACCAAGGAACAGTCCCAGAATAACGTTACATTCCTGAGAAAGTTCGGGCCTCCAAATTTACGGTGCAAAATAGCTGTACGAAAAATTTGTGACTTGGGAAAAAAGTGGAGAAACATCCCATTGGGAATAAAAGGTTTTACAGGTAACTACATACAAAATAGCACTTGGTCAAAATGGAATCACACCTGTGCTGGTAAACTAAATGGTTTTGGTTTTTTTGCATATGTTTAGTTAGGAGATTAACTGTTGTCAGTCTTACAATATATGGAGAAATGGAGACCTGTTGAAATTTTAATTCATCATCTCTAACTCAGAGGTGTCAAATAACACTGTTCATTTTCTTCAATAGTTTTAACTGATGCTGTTTCATTTTATTGTTTGAAATAACAATGAATTTCTAGAAACGATATTTTCTCTCCGTGCCAGCAACCAAAAAAGACTGAGATAACTCTACACAGATACTGCAAATGACGTGAATGTGCTTTCCTCACAGGAGTGCTTAAAATTTTTATAAGCTTTTAACTTATTCTATAGTATTGCATTAGACACTAGTTGCAGTAAATCAATTCATTCCAAGATGAATCCCCTGCCCTTTTGAAAAACGTGAAAGAAATTATATCTTCAGCTGCATGGGTTTTCAGTTTGCTTTTATTACTAACAGCAGCTGAAAACCTGACAATATGGAATAAAGACAAACAGATGAATTAAAGGAACAATGACTAAATTATACCTAGCTACTTGCTACATATGTTCTCTGCAGATTACTTACTGATTCAAGGCAAAATTAACCAGTCATCTGCAAATAAACACATCTGCATCATTTCCAAAGATATGCTGAAGCACGCAACTTGGTACATCATTAATAACCACTGTCTTCTTAGTAACAGCTTCTGACAACATGAGGTTTCTGACTGGGTGGTAACTGAATAACACTTTTATGCTGGTTACTTTTTGAAAGCAGGAGGCGGGGACGGGGATTTTGTGTATATTAATCTTGGCAGGTTCCTGGCACGTAGCAATGACTGCCAATAAAGGCACTTCTGATGCCTTATTTGCCTTGAGGAAACAATACAAACAGGTGACTGATCCACAGGGGACAGCTTTGGTGAGCTCAGATAATCCAGGACTCGTCCGTCTTTTGAAACTGCACTATATCTTCACTGTTATAATCGAATCAAGCAAGTGCCTACTAGGGGAAAATGGTACAGGTTAATGAGATTGCACACTAATTGTAACAGCTCTCCTGCACTCTCCCTTCAAGCGCCTTGGATTGAAGTGACATCTTTTGACCGCAAGGATAGCTGGTTTTGTTCACACGGTTAAAACCCTTATTGGAAATAAGATCAGTTTGGGGCTGGAGCCTCAGCACATCCTTTTTTTCAATCGATGATTCAATTTTTTTTTCAAGACACAAAACCCCAAGCGCTTGGGAGTTGCTTTCACTTCACCCGCTGGCAGGCTGGTTTAGCAGATTTTTCACTGGTCTTTTCAAAATGAATGAGATCACACCAAATCCTTACATTGGCTCCTCATATTGCTATGGGCATGAGGTAGCTTCCATGCTAAAATGGGAATGAGATGAGCAACTGAATGAGCCAAAACCCCTCTGGCATGTGGTCAAACATGCACCAAATTCTCTAGAAGTATTTCTTGACTGTCCAGAGAGGAGTGCCCACACCATGTAAAATGCAGGCAGACCATTACTTCAAAGAAGTAAAGAGCGAGCCCAGCAAAGCTGATGCTCAGGGATGCACTGAAATCCTTGAGGACAGTAAGTCACAAAGCTCCAGTTCGGATGTCAATACCCAGGCAGTGCACTCCGATGTGAAATCCCATGTTGAAACTGCTGGGCCCATTTAAAAGGATGCGGTCATCTGCACTCTTCCAGGGCTGACAGCAACTAACAGATATTGAAGCAAACTCATCTCAGTGGTCCGTCAACTCTTGCACTTCTGATGGATATGGAGTTGGGCTGAGGAAGACTTTTGCACCCATACCCTCACTACTAGACTGATGAGTTACTGAACAATCATAAGCAACAGGGCTTGCATCAGCCCCAGAGCCAGTCTACTAGAAGAGTTGGCAGTACCCAAGCAAAAATATCATGAGTAGTCCAAATCTCTTTTCTGTGTACTCTCTATTATATAATTTAGGGGCACGTTGGACATCTTAGTGCAGTTCCTACAAGGTGGTATCATTATTACCATATATCACATCTACTTTTCACTTATTTTTCTGTTCTTCCACTGTCTTAAGTCTAGAGACTTGACACCTTTCCCCTCAGTGTATCTTTTTGCCATTTTTTTCTTTCTGTCGCTTGCTTCTATCTGGCTTACCTGAATAGATGCATCCTCATCATCCTTCCCAACCCATTGATGCAAAAAAAAAAAATCACTACTTTCGATGAACCAACATTCTGACCGTATCTTAAGCCCTCCAGGTTTTCATATTTGCTCCCCAGTAATGCTCTCAGACTATGTGCATACATGGACAAGTATCAGTTTTCATCCTTTCTCTTGTATTTGTCTTTTCGCCCTCCTAGTATGTCAACATTACATGTTTGTTTTACCTTTTAATAGTCAACTGGCTGTCCTGCAGGTTTCCTCTTTTTCCTCTGTTATTTACCTGTGTAGTTTTCTCAACAAGCTCCAGCTGCTTCCTACACAAGCAACTCGTGTCTTTCAAGGAAAATGAGGCAGGGCCCTACAGGCTGTTATGTAAAGGAAGAAAACATTTCTTCCTTCTCTGTCCCTCCCTCAGGCAAAGCACTCCTGAGGATTCAGTTGCCAGAGGCTGAACCTTCAAAAAAGCCACTCAAATTTCACAAGACACTTGGTATTGCCTTTAGCCTCAAGCTCACATAATTACTTTCTTCTAACCAAAAAGGCAGCATACTGAGGAACGGGGCAAATAACGTGTATCTTCTGATTACTTTTTCCATTTTTTAATTTTATGTACATTACTAGTCCTCCATCACAATTTTATACTCCTCACCCTTTGCTTTAAAAGCAAGAAGACAAGAAGAAAGTTGACATTCCTACATTTCATGTGCTCCAGCCACCTACTGCCTTACCAAACCACGCCTCTCGTGTACAACTCACGCATACAACAGCGTTAAGAGATCCTAGAAAAATGGGGAACAGAAAGGTAAAGACTGAAGTATTCACCTCTCCCCTCAAAGCCGAACTAAGCAGGCCTACGTTACCCCAACCGATAGGCTGAACTGAATCTTCAACACCTTCACTAGCAGAGACTCCATGACCTCCCTGTGCAATCTATTTCAGTGTCTCACCATGCCTACACTCACTTTCTTTGTTTATCCTGTCTCCTTTACAGCAATTTAAGCCTGCTATTTCCTTCTCCCATCCACCACAGACACAGGCTTGTATTGCTACAGAAACCTGTGTTTTTGAAAATGGCTCTTCACATCTCCTTTCAGAGCCTGAAGAGCTCTGAATTCTTCAGTTGTCCCTCACAGGTCACGCATTTCCTACACCTCTGATATGTCCACCCTGCTCTGCCTCCCACCTGTGGTGCTCAGAACTGGGCACCCCATTCCGGTTGAGGCCTTGCAAACGTATTGCAAAGAGGAAGGATTGCTTCCCACGTCCTACGGGACGTACTCCTGTTTATATGCCAGAACATGACATTTGCTTTTTCCTAAATAGCCCGGGGTTGTTGACTCCTGTTCAACTTCTGGTCCTCAGGAACACCAGATCCTTTCCTAAACTGGCCAAGTTTCCACCCCCAACAACCTCAGCTGTGAAGCAGGTTACTCCTACCTAACAGCACAAACATATTATCGTTCCTCCTGAGCTGCATCCTAAACTTTCTCACGTGCTAAGATGAGATGCTAACCCGTTCAGGATTTTACTCTCATCCATGACAGACTTGGCGTGAGAGAACTTCCCATTTTGACATAACCTGTGAGCGACAAGAGATTTTTTTAAAAATTAATTGCCTTTCCATACCATCCTCCCAGCTGCCATCCTCATTTTCCTGTAGAACATAACCATGTAGACCTGCATAAACATCTTTCACCTGTGTCCCAGAGCAGGCTTACTCCTGCACCCTGTCTATGTCCCCTTCTTCCATGTTCTTCTTGTAGGCAACTCCCACTTGTCCAAAGTTACACTTGGGGCTCTCCTCTCCCCTCCTTGGAGAGGCTGGTGGAGCAATAGCAGAAAGCAGGCTCAAACTATCATGCCCCTTGAATGACTCTTCATTGAGTTTACACCCTCCCTGCTATAGCTGAAAGGCGGTTTAGAAAATCCCAGGCTTCTAGGTCCGGTTGTGATAAATAAACTTCAACAATTACCACACCCACCTCTATTCTTTGCTTTGAACGCTGCTTCTGCACCAAACCACTGCAATTTTCTAATATTTAAAAATCCTCAAACTTTACACAAACACCTTCAGAACCCCTCTCAATCCTCCCCCATCCGCCTGACAGTGACCTGCACAGCTTTCAGCAGCTCAAATCCACGCTGCAGGCTTTGTGCTGAACGTCTTGGGAGGCCCCCCAACCACTTCACACCCTAAGAGAAGACATTTCACCCATCGCCATATCGTAACAATACCTTC